ATTAAAAAAATTTAAGGCCTGTCAACTCAGCAAGTACTGCTAGCATGGAAGGATAAAATGTAATCATCCATCAACAAAACCCTTTCATTACTTTGAAAGGCATTTAACGCAAGATTTGCAATAAATAAATACAAAACTACTAAAAGAACCTCTATAAACAATCATATATTGGCTTCAAGTGAAGAAACTTGGAAATATTGAAACTTCTTTTACTATTTTAATTTTTTTTTAGATATTTAATATTCTAAAGATAAAGGGACAATAATTTAAGGCAAAAAAATTAAAATGTCTATACATATAATATATGTATAGACATTTTAATTCTATATATTTTATTGTGTGTGTGTGTGTCTATATATATACATATATATAAATATATATATATATATATATATATATATATATATATATATATATATATATATATATATATATATATATATATATATATATATATATATATATATATATATATATATATATATATATATATATATATATATATATATATTGATGTACATACAAAACAATAAAATAATAATATAAAGAAAACATTCTCTATACAAAAAATCCTAAAAATTTAACAAAAGTTATTAAAACTTATGCTTCAACACGCTGTATACTTACTTTTATATATATAAAAAAAATTTGAGTTAAACATATTTAATGAAGAAAATCGAAACTCTTAAAAAATTTAATGAGGAGGAGCTGTTAGTAAAGCCTGCTTTTTAACAAAATTTATTTATTGTCAAAAGCATACATTGTTAAGAACAGAGGATAACAACATTAAAACACATTTTTTAAACAATATTTTTTCAACACATTTTAGAAATACACTAATTACAAACAGAATTAATTTATGTGTTTTATTATGACAATACACAACTCTGCTGGCGAGGACAATATTTTTGCTCTCAACAAAGCCAGGTCACATTATAGCAAAGTACACCACTTGGCTAGCAAGGTCAACAATCTTGCTGTAAACTAAGCCCAGTCACAACAATTTGAAACCATGCAAACAACATAATTATCACTTACAAACTATAAACATATTACATATAACACACCACAAACATTGAAACATTTCATATATTTACACACTTACAAAATATAAACCCATATAACCTTAACACATATATACACAATAAAACACAATATAAATAACACACATATATAGATAAATATATAAATTAAGAAAAATATATAAATTTGAAACTTTACAAATACAACCTTATTTTTGTTTTTTGAAATACCTCGTAATAAATGTTTAACAACTTTCAAAAACAAACTATCAAACAATCTGGTTTTTTATACGGATTTTTATAACTTCTTTTAAATAAGGTATTAAACGATCTTGTTCTTTAACATGTAACATTGAGTTGACCGTGTGAGATGCAAGTGTTTTAAACACTAACTTTATCAAGAGTTTGACCTCTTGACCTTTGAAATGAGCAACGTCTTCTTGAGTCGTCTTTTAATTTAAATATTACAGATTAATTTTATAAATTAATAAATTTAAATACAATTGACAAAAGACTAAAATGCATGATTTAAATAAATCACCTGACTTACTTTACTAATTCAATAATAAAGTTACTTTACTAATTCAATAATAACATAATGTTCATCCTTTACTACAGAAGTTATCAAATAAAAATTGTTGATCTTATCACTAATTAAGCTGATGAAACAAAGTTTTTGATCTCATTACTGATTAAGCAGATACTGACAGATTATTAAGATTTGAAAGAGCCTCATTATGCGAGTTCAGAAGTAAAGCAATTTATAATAAAACTCAAAGTCCAAGTATGATAAAAAAGTCCGTGTAAAGGTGCACGAATGGTGAGCAGCAGCAGCGGCAGCGTTAAGTTAAGTATTAATTATAAGCGATTAGTAAATAAAGAGTTATGGAAAACCTTTCTGGTTGAAACAGTTCAGTACAATATATTATTTATCCTAATTTTTATTTCATTAAATTAGCAGTTTACTTTCTGAGGGGATTTTTGTTTTAGAAAAAATTGTTATGTTGTTAAAATTGTTTTATTGTTAAAATTGTTATATTGTTAAAATTGTTATATTGTTAAAATTGTTATATTGTTAAAATTGTTATATTGTTAAAATTGTTATATTGTTATTATTAGTATAATTGTTCAAGGAACTCTCCTGAACAATATTACTAAATAACTAGCACATTTTTATTTTTTGTTGTTCAAAATTGCAACTACGATTTCAGGCTTGTGATTTAGACGGTTTGTGTAAATTTTTAAGTGATTTTTAACAACTGGAATTTTTCTTATCTTAATCCTTAATTACAGAACAGTTTTTATCTTTACTCAATCACTAGGAGGACTTTATCAACATTTAAAGTGTAATTTCAAATCATGAAATATTTTTTAAAAACTTTATGAATGTTTAAAAACTACTTTGTTTTATTGTCATAATACTCTTTATCTTTTATGATTAAGTTTCCTGTTAATCAATGAATGAAAATGTGCAAGGAAAAGCAGTTTGCTAATTGATTGTGTATTTTTCTGTCATACACCTTCAGTCGTTCTGCATAAAAAATCGTACACATGAATAGGAAGGAACCTTGACGTGGTTCATGTGCTTTAAACAAATACCTTCCAGACAGATACATTCTCACCCGTTGTACTGTGAGAGATAAATGGTCAGAAATTTGATTTCTTTAGATTTTTTTTTTTGTCTGAATTTATTTATTACTCAATAAATCAAATTTTTTTAAATGTATTAATAAAATCATAGTTAATCTACTATTTGTTTTCAATGGTTTGTATTCTTCGAATTGGCTAATAAAAATTAGCAAATCAATAAAAAGGGCTGGTGCTAGTTGCCGATACAGATTGTGATATATTTGGCTGATTAAGCTGATGCAGATTAATCTGAACATCACCAAGAATATTCAGATTAATTTTGAATTTCCAAATTCCTTTTTTTATTCTTAGTTGACATCGAGTACATAAACCATATTAAGAATAGCTAGTATAGGTATAATTTTTTATTAAATTTTGCATATGTTTCATGTAAAAGATAATGACCAGAATCAAGTTTATATTTATAAAAAAAAATCCAAAAACAATAAAAAAAACAATAGTTTGGGAGGGAGCGATTTTAAGTTAATTTTTGCTTGAATTTTAGACTTATATTGTCTTAACCAGTTTAGCATTAAAAATTTTTTTTTTTTGAAAATGCGTTCTTATTTTTATAAAAGGCTGCAAACACCGAGTCTTAATCACAAAAAAAAATTCCAAATCGTGCAAATGGGGTGAATACATAGGGGGAGCCCCCCTGGTGTCAAATAAAAACCTTTTGAAAATATAAATCCGAGTTAGTATAGAGTTGACAAATAGTAAATGGGGAAGGGAGGCTTATTTGGTATTAGAGAGTACCACTGTCTGGGATGGATTGTGTTATATCAATCGTGGCTCAGTAGTTAGAGCATTGGATTCGTAATCTAAGGGTTGCGAGTTCGATCTCTACTCGAAGCACATAAAGGTTATCGGTAAGGTTGGAAACGGAGAGCCAAGTTACAAATGTTATTGTCTTTGTGGCGGTGCTCTGTGACAAGGCCATTAGGACTTCTTAGAGCACCTTAATAACAAAAACAACAAAAATGGGGGTGGGGGGTGGTAATATTAAAAAAAAATCGCCAAAGGAAAAATAAATCCTAGATCCGCCCCTGTATATATATATATATATATATATATATATATATATATATATATATATATATATATATATATATATATATATATATATATATATATATATATATATATATATATATATATATATACAGGCCTTGCGATAAAGCGTCGGGCGATGTGAATTTTACGTCGTCCAAGAGGGATTTAATAACATATATATAATATATATATACACATATACATATATATACAAATATACATGTATATATACCCAGCAGGCACAATGACGTTGAAATAAGGTTGAAACAACGTCGTAAACCGATCATATGCTACGTTGAAATTTGGTTGAATTTGAAACGTCAATGGTTACGTTGTTTCAATGTTGTTCTATTGTCATCGACTACACATCAGGGCCGTACCGATAGGGGTGTGTCCACCCCCCCCCAGATTTTTAATATTTTGTTGGTTAAACAGTACAATGGTAAATTGTCGGTAAGATTACAATAAATTGTAATCTTACAATAAATTGTAATCTTACCGACAACTTTACCATTATACTATTTAACCGACAAAATATTAAAATTATTATTTTCTTGTTGTTTCTGTATTGCAAAAATGTTTTTAAATCATCCTTAACTTTAATTTTCAAAGGATAAAAAACTAATTCTTTTTAGGAATTTAACGCGTATAACAAATAAAACTCAGCTAAGCATGTTTTTGGTTGCCGTTTTTTATTCTCAAAAATTGCGTTACGTAATTAGTCAACAATTTCTAATTACTTTAAAGCAAGAATCTTAATCAAGAGACTTGTTTACTTGATGTTTGCACAGAAGAAATCAAATTTTAGTTAGAGGTGTGTTTTTATTATTAGAAATTTGGTACTAGTATTGGAAGTTTGGCGAAAGAAGTAATAAACTGTTTTGTTTATACTTGTAAGTTACGTATTTACTAATAAAATTTTAAAAAGTATAAAATTTATTAAATCATTTAAATATTTTTTTAAGGCGAATATTTTGTTAGTTTAATTTGTAATTATCTTAGATTTTGGGTTCAAGATGACACATCCTGGTGTTAAAAGATACAAAGTCAAATGCAAAGTCAAGAACTGTTCACATTCAATTTTTGATAATGACTATCGGATGACACAATTGAATTTATCATTTGGATTATATCCGAAACCATAAAGAGATTCTTATGAGATGTATGGCGCACCACGAAACCCTTTTGAAACCAATTCGGCAATAAATTCCCAATCGTGCAGCAAAATAAGTTTGTCTAAAATTAATTTCAATGCCCAAGAACTTTTGGCCAAGCAACATTACAAACGAAGTGGAAATGAATATCAATGAAAATCTGACAAAAATCTCTGAAGTAATTGAAAATGAATCATCTGAAATTGAATGTGAGATAATAAATGAGATTAAAAACATTGATATTACTAATGATGAAATACTAGCAGTGCCTGAAATTTTGGATTTCTGTGATCAAACTCTGTTAGTAGAATCCCAACCGAGTGATGTTAATTTATTGGAAAAAGAAACTACGTTTTCAGATTCGGTGGATAAATTTGCAAAGCTGTGTAAACTTTTAAGTGAGTTCGAATTAAAACTAAATGAAGTGAAAAATACAGACAATTTACATTTGGAAAAACTTCTCATTGAAATGACAGAGCTTGCTTCTGAGGTAAAAATTTCAGCAGAGAATGTTTTGGATGCCAATGACCAAGCTCTTGCAAACATTTTAAACAAAATAAAATATGATAATATTAAAACACTTACTACAAAAAATTTCTTTCTTTCGCATGATCCTGGCCAGCGTTCGAAAATTGAAAATGATAATCTAAGAAACTATCTAATTGAGCTCGGACCACATCAAGTAAAACTTAATCACTTTCCTATCAATAAAGATATTGACAAAAGAAAGCAAAATCGTTTTTCATCATTGTGGTACAAAAAATACCCTTACTTAGAGTACAGCATACTTAAAGATAGCGCATTCTGCTATGTATGCTGTCTCTTTCCAAATGGACCAGGTAGAGAGAATAGTGAAGTTGCTTGGGTTGAAAACGGTATCCGCACGTGGCATAAAATGAAGAGTCGAGGAAAGAAAGGTAAAAGAGGAAAACTATCAGAACATTTTTCATCAAAATCTCATAAAGCTTCATTATTAGACTATTGCAATTATTGTAATAGTGCTCAACATATTAATCTCCTCTTGGACAAGAAACAAAGACAAATTGTTATTAGTGAAAAAGAAGAAATGGAGTCTAATAAGTGTGTTATAAAAATTCTTATTGATTTGGCTCGAACATTGGGTAGGCAAGGAATCGCGTTTCGTGGAGATGATTGGGATGAAAATGGAAATTTTAGACAGTTGGTATATTTTATGTCGAGACATAATTTGGTACTTAAACGATGGTTGAGCAACATAAAACTTAGAAAATATCATGTGACATATATGAGTGCTAAATCCCAAAACGACTTCATTCATTTGCTTGGACAAGATGTTCAAAGCAAAATTGTTTCCGAAGTTAACCAAGCATCAATGTTTTCAATTATGGCAGATACAACTCCTGATGTGTCACACAGTGATAAGTTAGCAATTGCTGTAAGGTATGTGGATAATAACTGTAATATTAAAGAAAGAATTGTGCAAATATGCGAGGTAGCTGACAAAACGGGTGATGGAATTGCAGATTTAATAATATCGACAATCAATAACCTTCAACTTGATGTCAATAGTGTTGTGTTTCAAGGATACGATTACGCAGCTCTATGTCCAGTAACATTAAAGGAGTTCATGCAAAAATTTCAGAAAAGTTAAAACGAGTTGTACCTTATATTCCATGTCAAGCTCATCGAACTAATACTTTTGTTGAACATGCGGTTAAAAGAAATAAAGTGGCTTCAAATGTCTTTGAAGTTCTATGTGCTACGTATTTATTTCTTCAAGTACTAAACGATTCAGCTTACTTAATTCTAAACTTGAGTTTATTGAAAATTTCTTGAAACTTCGCAATCTTTCAAAAACTAGATGGTCAGCGCGTTCAGAATCCATTCAAGCATTTTGAATAAGTATGGAATCTATTGTTGAATGTTTTTATGAAATAAGTCAGTCCGATTTATTTGATAAGAAAACAAAGGATCAAGCTTTAGCAATACTTAAAAAAATCGTGAATCCAGACTTTATCGTTATGCTTATGCTTATCATTGCAAAAACAAAGATTCTTATTGATGAGTTGCAGAAAGGTGAGTTGAACATTTTAGATGCTAAAATGATTGTATTGTCTACAATACAATCTCTTGAACGAAATAGAAAAGAAGAGTTTGAAGTACATCGTGAAATTGATGCAGCAATTAAAATATGTAGCAAGTATGAAATCGATGCGTTAAAAATATACGAAGATCGTCATAGACGAAGAGTAACTCCAAAACGCTATGATGACAATCCTGATACGCTATGTTCTAGAAATATCTATCAATACTACACCCAACAACTTAATTGCGTGTTAGACTGTCTTATTTACGAAATGAATGAAAATTTACTGGCTTCATGATTGAGCATTGAACCATTTTCTCTTCTTCAGCAGTCAACAAAAACCTTTACAATAAAAGATGTCGAAAAACTGTGCCTGTTAATGCCAAATAATGGAGTAAATACAGATGCTCATTTATTTCATGGAGAGTTAGAAATTTTTATGAACACATTTACTAAATCTGATGCTCCAACAAACAATGAAAAATTAAAACTGTCGTGGCAAAGACAAAACATATTCCCAGGAGTTTTTAAAGCTTTCAAGCTAATGGCTTCAGCACCAGTGTCCGTTGCAAGCGATGAAAGAACATTTAGCAAATTAAAAATTGTTAAAAATATTTTGCGTTCTACTATGTCAGATGCAAGATTGGAGTCATTAATTTTGTTGGCGTCAGAAAAAGATTTAGTGGACAATATAGATCTTGACGTGTTAGTAAAAAAATGGTCTATAACAACACAAAGACGTATTCAAATTGAGTAATTGGTTATACAGTTTTGCGTTTTATACGTTAAATTTGTTGTTGTTTGTATATGCTTTTGAAATACTGTAAATTTCATGTGCATTGTAAAATTTATATAATCTTTCAGAAAAAATATATTTTATTTCTTTTAACGTGTTACAGGTAGTAAATTAAGAATGCAATTATGATTTTGAAAATTTTTCCAAAAAAAATCCTTTTTTCAAAACAAGAAAAATTTTTGTCGGTTAATTTGACGATTGCACCCCCCCAGTCTTTGTATGCTAGATACGGCCCTGCTACACAGCAACCATATTTTAACTATGAATAGGTGATATTCGGTTGATGCGTAGTTGATACGAATAGTTAGAACAACGTCGAAACAACGTAAATTCAACGTTGATTTTTGTTTTTTATTTTGCTTAAAATCCAATTAACTAAAAAATTATCTCAACTTTAATTGCAATGAAATAATACAACAAAAAAGCAATAATTTGCGCAGAGGATATTATATTTCACATAAATTAATCAGATACAACTAAATTGCTTCAAAGGACTTTATATAAAATGCAAATAAAATAAATTGTTTGAAAAAAAAAGTTTTATTTTACAATAGTTTCAGAACAATAAGGAAAAAAAAAAATATATATATATATATATATATATATATATATATATATATATATATATATATATATATATATATATATATATATCACATATTTTTAAAACACACTATAATAACAAGATTCACAAGGTTTTTTTATTTTTTACTTTTAACTAACTACTTTTAACTAACCTTTGATTCACATTTTTTGTATTTGTATTACCTCTGATTTTAGAAAATTTGTTAACCTAAAGGGTTGAGAAAACAATTACACCACATTCTTTTTATAATACATATATAAAAAGTTACAAGTAGATTAACTTAAGAAAATACATAATCGAAAAAAATATATATAAAAAAAGCGCAAAAAGTAATAGTTTAAAAATACAAAAAGTAATGGTTTAATAAAAATTACCACTTCAGAAATCATAATTCCTAAAGAGTTAAGAAAATAATTACATTACATTATTTTTATAGTACTTTTATAAAAAGTTACAAGTAGATTAACTTAAGTAAATGAATAATTCCAAAAAAGTAATAAAAAAGTTGCAAAAAACCATGATTTGAAATAACCTAACTTCAGACCTCATCCAAAAATCATTAAAACTGTCATCATAATCACTAAATGACAGCTGCGAATTCATCCATAAAATATCAGGACTATTTGTCGTGATACTATTTTAATTACTGGAAAGAGCTTTACTAACATCTCTTCCATTTCTACCAGTGCATTTAAAACTTTCTTCTGAAATTCTAATAGTAAAGATAAGTCAAAAGAACCAAACATTAGTTAACTTTTAAAAGCATTGAAATACATTGAAATACACTATTTCAAAATATCTATTTATTAAATAAACAAAATTATTGGATTTTGAAAAAATATATTTCTTCTAATGGCTTAAAGATAATTACTTGCTTTTTTACTAATTAATAAAATGAATGTTTACCAAAATAAATATCAAATATTTCACATATCTTCCTCAGTAATGGGAGACTTTCCATTCGATAAGGAATCTTTTTTAGTAGCTTTTCTTATAAGGGAAACAAATGCAGATGTGTCTGGTTAAACAATCTTTTTTCTTTAATGTGAAAAAATACACACGCTCCCTTGGTTTCGCACTATATTCAAATACTCTCTTTCCTCTGGAAAATCTTGCCATTGCTGATCCTAATATTTTTAAGATCAAAAAATCAACCACGTAAAAAAATAATCAATACTAGAATGTTAGAAATAAAATAGCTTTTGCTAAATGCTATAATAATAAAATTAATGTCATACCAATGAAATAAAATGTCATTACAAAGAAGAAAAAAAAAAAACAATAAAAAAATAACTTTAAAACATTAATAAAATAAATAAAATATATATAATTTAACAACCAATAAAATGTGTAAAAGCATAGAAAAAAAACATTTAAAATCTTTTCTTTCTAAAACAACTTGCAGACAGACAATCAATACCTTGAACTATAGTATGCAGAGTATGCATAAAAGTTGTTTTCTTTTTTTTTTTGCGTTATAGGAGTAGGTATTTGGTTATTTTTGGTTAGATTATATTTTCTCTTGCATAAGAACAGTAGTGGTTCCTATAATAAATAATATCAAAATAAAACTAATAATACTTGAATTAAGTTTTTAACTTAAGTTTAAATCTTTTAAAATAGTTAATACTTTCTGATTCTGATTCTATCTGAGACATCGCTTGTAGTAGCAAATTCAAAATTATCACATAACTCATGATAAGAATGACCATTCCATTTAAAACTATGTTTTAAATATATTATATAATAAAGAATATATCTAAATAACTTACAATAACATATACAATAACAGAGCATTTTTAAGAAACAAGGAAAAAAAGTAATGACTTAATGTTTATAAAAAAAAAATGACATTATCTCCACAACATTTAATATTGAGCAGCTTAAATATGTATTAGTTAGACAGCGGTTCATGCATTTCATTGAAATAATTTATTACACTTAATGATGATGGCCAACAAAAAAACTATCAATCATATTTTTTCTCTATTTCTCTTTATTTTCTATCCAAACAGCTCGGATGTACATTTTGCTTGCTCAACAATAATTTTTAAACTGGAAAAATTTATTTTTTAAAACAACACTTTTTATACTCATACATAAAACATTTGTTAGTGTAAACAACTTACAGAAAAATACAACTTTAACTTATACATTATATAACTGCCTAGTGAAAATTATATTGAAATTCAAGTGTCAAACCTCTTGAATCACATGGATTGTTAAAAAGCGGTAAATCTGCAGTTAAGCAGCCTAAAATAGTTTTATTTTTTCGCTTGTTGTGATCTCGCATAGAGACATGCTTAAAGTGGTGACTTTTTAATATAAAAAGAGAATATTTTTGGCTTCACTACATTCCTTAACTATCTTATAGCCTGCTGCTGCTACATCGACTATCATATAACCTGCTGCTAAAAGGAAGTGCTGCTACATCAACTGAGGGTTTAACATGGGGCAGCAATCTTTTTTATTTTATTGTTTCAAATAATATTTTGATGGTTTTAAAAACCTCCAATAACGAGAGCGTTACAAGCAAAAAAATTAAATTATTTTAGGTTGCTTATATATATGTATATATATATATATATATATATATATATATATATATATATATATATATATATATATATATATATATATATATATATATATATATATATATATATATATATATATATATATATATATATATATGTGTGTATATATAATATGTAAATTGGTTTTAAAAAAATGGCAGCATATAACTATTTTTAAATATATTTTGATCTAAAAATATATTAATGATATTTCGCTGACCTATTGTGGTCAGTGTCATTAGGTAATAATAAAACCTAACAAAATAACGTAAAACAGACCGTTTAAAAAGAAGACATTAAAAATCTATCAAATGGTTTAAGCACACAAACCGGAAAAAAACTACCTAATGCGTCCTGTTGTTTCTACTATTAAAATTATCCAACCAACATTAAACAAAAGTTTAACTTGACTAATTAATTCAAGAAACTTTGTCAACGATGCTAAAGAATGGAAGATAGGCCCTAATGAAAATCAGGTTGTTGTTTTTTTTTAAATATGTTTCGCTGTTTATATAAAAATAAAATAATAAAATTACAATTTAACTTTTACATTACGAAAAGAATATATATAAAACAGACAGGGGCACAAAGAAGATAAGGACGACTGGTGTCAACACAATCTTTTCATAGAGCCCCTTTACAATATCATTTAAAGCCCACATTGCTTTAGAAAATTTACAACAAATAGTTTCTTTCGATGTAATTAATTTATATCCATCTATACAAATTCATTAAGCAATTCCTGTTATTATTAACATATTGAACAATGATTTTGAAGATTTAAAAACTAGGACTAAATTAACTCTCATAAATATACACCAATTTAATGAACTATTATTAAGCATATGTTACTTTTTATACGAAGATAAAATCCGAATTTTACCTAATTCAGGTCCAATTGGTTTGTCATTGATGGTAGTCATAGCTGAAGCATTTTTGCAAAGTATAAAAAAAAGAGCACTTGATATAGCCTTTTTTAGTTCATTCCAACCAATAACTTAATAATAAAACAAAAATAATCTAATTAAAATATAACAAAAATAATCTAATTAAAAAAACCAAAAACTATTTAGACGGCATTTCAGAAAACACTACTTCTAATCAATTAGATCAAAAGTTTGTTAAACTACCTTGGATACTTATTATAGGCCCTAAACAAAGAGAATTTAAAAAACAAAACATCAGAGTTATATTTACTTCAGCTCCCAATTTAAATAGCATATTATGCAACAACAAAACAAAACTACCTCCGAACTCAAATCCGGGAGTTTATCAACTTAAATGCTTGAATCACATGGATTGTTAAAAAGCGGTAAATCTGCAGTTAAGCAGCCTAAAAAAATATCTTATTTGACACTTGAATTTCAATATAATTATCACTAGGCAGTTATATAAATTATATAACTGCCTAGTGAAAATTATATTGAAATTCAAGTGTCAAACCCCTTGAATCACATGGATTGTTAAAAAGCGGTAAATCTGCAGTTAAGCAGCCTAAAATAGTTTTATTTTTTCAGGCTGCTTAACTGCAGATTTGCCGCTTTTTAACAATCCATGTGATTCAAGCATTTAAGTTGATAAACTAATATATATATATATATATATTGGTGAGACCAAAAAGAAAATTATTTCAAGAAGTGCAGAACGCCAAAGAGCTTGCAAAAATCGAAAATGGTCAAGTTCACGAGCGACGGAACATTCTAGAACATGCCGTGGTAACTTCGATTGGTTAAATCCTAAAACATTGGCAGTTGTTCAAGAATACAGGATACGAAAAATTAATCCCGGGAGATTCACAAAGCGAAGGTTCGATACAAGATAGGTATTAGGGAAGGTATTTAAAATTGAGATGACGGGGATAAGGTTAACACAAGAACTTGGGGACCCATTTTGACAAAAATTTAACTGACATCACTATTAAATTATTTAATTGGTTTTTATACTTAATGCTTTTTAACTTTTTTTTTTTTTTTTTTGTTTGTTTGCGGCATCGAACGAGCAAGACGTGTTATAGAGAGATTAATTATTTTAAAAAAATGGAGGTTATGATGAAAAAAATAGAAAAACTTATAAGCAGCAAACTTGATGAGCAAAAAAAAGCATTTTAAAAGAAACCGCTATACTTTTCAAAAATCAGGAAAAGATATTTACAGATATTTTATGTGCGAACCTAAAAATAATAACAAATCGGCTTGACAAACTTGAAAACGAATTTAATAAAAACAAATCGAGGGTTGTAATAATTGAAAAAGACATAAGTGATTTAAAGGAAAGTAATAACTTTCAGGAAAAAACCTTTTTAAACAAAATATCACAAACAAACAGTCTGTTGAACTGCGAAATTAGCAACTTAAAAAACAAATTTATTTCCTTGGAAAACCCTTCACGACAGAATAACTTAAGGATTGATGGATTAAGTGAGCTGCAGGCTTGGTCGGGAAACGGGAGCGATCGCTCTCGAATACTGACCACGGAAATTATATTTAGTTGCGAAAAACCGGCCAGGTTTTTTAGTTATTTACGAAACAATAAATTTTGGTTTTACGGACATACATGGAAACATAAAAAACTTAAATGTTCTCAAAATATCTTAGTGCGGAAGAATGAAAAGAACATTCGCGAACTCTAAAAACCCGCCAAATTAACGAACAAACTAATTCTATTGGTTCAAAAAATACGCTGGCTAAGCAAAATAGAAGTCTAGAGTATTCTGTTGAATACTATTATATTGAGTATTTCTAGCATAGATTGTTATAAGAATATATTATCAATTCTATGGCTCATTCTCGGAGCCACATCTGCATAGCCGTAAATCATAAACTATTATTATTTGTTTACATAAATTAATGTTTTAAATATATATTATTTTAATTGTCAAAATTTTGAAAGTTTATTATAAATTGTAGATTTTATTAGTATATACTTAATTAAAGTGTATTTTTTATGTAAATATAATATTGTGTTTTTTATCGATTTAATTTGTAAACAAAGACTTTCAAAAATAATTGTGTTTTCAATGAAGTTATTAATAATCATTAAAGTTAATAAAACTAATTATGTGGCAAACATATAAGAAGTTTCAGGTTACTAAACACTAACTATGCATACACAGTAACTCGCGGATGAACAAGCACCGCGCCTGAGGTCACAACAGAACATAAATATATATAGCAAGTTATTAGATATAAAGAAAAGTTTCTAGATACTGGTTCACTAAATCTAATTATTTTCGCTTAAGTTGCCATTCTTATAAACTCGTTATACTTTTTTCTGCTTTAAATACTAATTAAAATTAAAAAGCCCACTCACTAAACATCATCAGCGATATTATGTAGCAGTTTCGCTTCTTCGTCATAAAAGTATTTTCAACTTTTTTACTTGATTTCTATCTAGTAAATTTAATTTCTATAGCAATTCAATGATTCATATTACACCTTCTAACATCGTGTGCAATCCTGTCCGCTTTCTGTATGATATCTTTCTAACACGATTTCTTCTGTCTTTTACTCTAACATTCTTCGTTCTTCCTAAACTCTTTTTACTCTTGGTCCGTAGAGCAGGTAATGACGCTATTTATTTGCTGAACTTGTCTTTGCGGTGTTGGTAATGTGGCCTCCGTATGGCAATTAGCTGGAGGAGGATAAACCACAATACCTATAGTAATTCAATGATTTAATTATTTCACTTGTTTATCTTACTAAGAAAAATTGTTTCAAATATATTAAACTATTCAAACTACGCGAAACATAAAATAGGTATTAAACCAATAAACTTTTTTATTTATAAAGTAATTTAGCTAGAATAAAACTAAAACTTGCAAACTTTGATAAATAAAGAACATTTTTAAACAAACGTAAGATGTTACTTGATATAAAAAACGTCGCTTAATTTTATAAAAAAATTATAAAAGAGTGATGTTTCGAAAATATTTGTTCTAAACGTAATTTATTTTCCTTTTTTTGCGTTAAAAGATATTTTCATATTTTTTTTTTTTTTATTGTTTTGCAAATAATATGTTGCTTAACGACTTATACCACGCGGATAAAAAAGTATTTAACGACAAATGTTCTAA